GGGCTGCTCATCACCTCTGGGGGGGTGAAACTGCTGCCTAAAGGGCTCCTCCACAAGCTGGAGAGCCCGGATGCGTCTTGTGAGAGAGCAGCAATCCGCCACTATCGGGAGATCTACAGGATCCGGCCCCAGCCGGGCCAGAAAATCCACACTAAACTCCAGCAGAATATCTTTACGCCTCGATTCGGCGCCTCTAAAATTAGCTGGAGACATCTCGGTGTCACACACACCAAGCTGCTCCTGTAATCCTGGTTCCTCCCAGCAGCTTCTGCTCTGACACACGTTTTGTCTTCAAGATTTTCTTTTTAACCCCGAAGATCCTGCAGGAGGAAAGACCCTCTGACGTCGGACGCCTTCCAAAATCCGTTTCCCCAGCCCAGCTCCGCAGTGGGGAAGCTTTCCTGTGTCGCCTGTCCATCCCTACCGGTTGTTGGTCGCTCATCCAACCTCGTTGCGAAGGTCTTGAGGTCTTTGTAGGGGTTGTGAAAGCTAAGCGAGCACCGGCCTTTTCTTCTAGGACCTTCTGGGACATGGACAACGGTCCTGGACCCTATGGATCGGGGTGGTCCCTACGCACTGACGGCCGGGCAGGGCTCAGAGAACGTGACGCTGCGGGACGTCTACTTTGGGGATGTGTGGCTTTGCAGCGGGCAGAGCAACATGGCAATGACAGTCCTGCAGGTAAGTGCCAGTGGCATGGCCCGATCCTGCCGGATCAGGCAGGGATCAGGCAGGGATCCCGACCCTTCCCTAGATTGTCAACGCCAGCCAAGAGCTCGCTGCTGCTGCTCGCTACCCCTACGTCCGCATCTTTGCCGCGGCGCCTGCCCGCTCCAACGTGGAACTGGAGGATCTGAAGCAAATCGACTTGCCGTGGTCCATCCCGACGGCCGGTGAGTGCAACATGCCTCCAAAAAACCAAAAAAAAAGCCTGGAAATGGCTTCCCCCCCCTCTTTTTTCCTTCGCAGCCTGCTTTTTTGAACAGAAAACCTGGGCCATGGGAATTTCACCTACTTCTCGGCCATCTGCTGGCTGTTGGGGCGCTACCTCTACGAGGCTCTGCGGTACCCCGTGGGGCTGGTGGAGGCGGCCTGGGGGGGCACCCCCATCGAGGCCTGGTCCTCTCAGAGGGCTCTGCAGGCATGCGGGCTGCCGGAAGACGTGGGGAGGTGAGACAAGACACAGCGGAAACGCCTCCTGCCCCACACTGCACCGCTTTTGGGGGGCATCCTCTATCCCTCCCGTCCCACCTCCCCTGTCCCCTCCACACATCGTTTCACCCGCTCTGGGTAAAATCCCCTCCCGTGCCAAGAGCACGTCTGGGCAGGTAAAGGGGACGGGGGGGACCCCAGGGCTCTCCTTTTGCGCAGCGCTTGCTTTAACCACGCAAGCCCGGCTCCTGAAGCCCCAGCTTCGGGGCTGGCCTTGTGCTTTGCACCCCCTTAAGCCCAGCTTTGTCTTCCAGCATCTCCCCACACTGGCACCTCTCTGGCCCGCAAACGCCCTCCGTGCTCTGGAACGCCATGATCCACCCGCTGCTCAACATGACGCTGCGGGGTGT